CCCAAACCGTTCTGTGAATGGTTGTTTAGGGTCCTAAGTTGGTTGTTTTCGTCTTGATTTAACGTGGGAATCCCCGAGGCCGTGGGAATCCCCGAGGCCGCTGTCCGTTGTACAGACGGCCCTGGCCTGCAGCCTGTCCACATCCGTGGTGGGCCTGGAGGCAGCCACTCATTTACATTTTCTTTTTGTATTTTTGTATAAATATATATGTTTAGTATAAGGGGAGGATTAGAAGAAATGCCAAGCATCGAGGAAATGTTATGTTCGTTTCTTTTCTGAGCTTTCTCTGTATAGATCTGCACCTGGACTTAGGTGAAAATGCATTTAGTTGTGACACACAACACTGGGGAGTGTCCCCCTTTCGAGGAAAGGAAGAGATATGCACTCACTTTGAACTCTTGTTAAAATCTTTGAATGGTAACGTAATCTGTCATTTTAACAGGGCTTAAATGAGTAAATAAACAGAACTATCCATGGTTTTAACTTGGTGTATTTCACATTAAATATTTTGCTAACTTCATAGAATCATAGAATGGTTTGGGTGGGAAGGGACCTTAAGCCCACCCGGTCCCACCCCCTGCCATGGGCAGGGACACCTTCCACTAGACCAGGTTGCTCCAAGCCTCATCCAGCCTGGCCTTGGACACTTCCAGGGATGGGGCATCCACAGCTTCTCTGGGCAACCTGTCCCAGTGCCTCCCCACCCTCTGCAGGAAGAATTTCTTCCTGATATCTAATCTAAATCTCCCTCTGTCAATTTAAACCTGTTACCCCTTTTCCTGTCACTACAGGCCCTTGTAAAAAGTCCCCCCCAGCTTCCTTGTAACCCCCCCCAGGCCCTGGAAAGTGCTCTAAGGTCTCCCCAGAGCCGCCTTTTGCCAAGTCTGAAGACCGCCAACTCTCTCAGCCTGTCCCCATAGCAGAGGGGCTCCAGCCCTCTGTTCATCTTCGTGGCCCTCCTAGACTTCATTGTCTTCAGTATAATTTCACTTTGAGTTAATTATCTACTTTTCTTTTTCTTAGATGAGGCCTCAGTTGGCTTGTTAGTAAATAAAACAAATAAAAAAAAGCACCGGTCATGCTATCACAGTGGAAAAGCATATTTGACGTGGCACACGTGGTAAATTGGCACTGACTTAATTTGACCTCACATAACGCTTATGAAGATCTGGAATAGCACTGCTAGTGTTCTGTGAACTGTTTAGTGTTTGTAAACTGATACAAGAAGCTGAAGTGCTCAGCATTCTGCACAATGTAGGCAGGACAGTGGTTTTTCACTGTGGTGTTTGTGGATGAAGTTTGTTCAGTCTTCAGTGCCAGGGGTTTTGGGGATGGTTTCTGTGTCCCCTGCACTGGTGTGCACTATTATGTTTCATTGCAGTAGTGTGTGCTCTGGATAAAGTTTCTCAATATAACTATTACTTTAATTTAGTAGCCCAGTTTGAAGATGATATATCACTGTTACATCCATTTCAGTTTGGAAGCCTTGCTTTAAAGGTATATGGAGTTTTCCTCAATTCTTGTATAAGACACCAAGGAGTGCCTTGGTCGTATTAAAGAAACGTGCTGGACATTTGTAACTGTACAAACGCAGAAGGGTGTTCTTAAAGGGTGTCTGTCGCTCTGGAATTCTCAGCATTTTTATTTGTGCCATCCTAGCCTTTCTCTTCACCTCCTTCCACTTCAGGTGGAAAAAGGACAGTCTCTTCATTTATGCAGATACTTCCTTCATGTGTTCGTTCTGTCAATCTGAGATGTGATCGCCGACCGCGCTTGCCTGGCTTTGGATGCAGTGCAAGGGGAAGAGAGTAAGTGCGCAGGAGCAAGACAGGTCACACCAAAATATATGACGAGTCTTTATTTGCCCTTTTATTTTTTTAAACAGATGAAAGATGGAGGGTTTGTAAAGTCTCTCATACCAGGCTGTTATTTTGGGTAGTGGAAAAGCCACGAAGCAAGACCAGTGTTAGAACATTTAGTGCTCCTGCGGTTTATATCAATTTTATGGCTGTGATTTGCACAGCGTTCAGAACCACTGTAAACTGTGTTTTGTTCAGAATTTACTGGCTTAATCATTCAGTGAGATCCTTGAATTTTAAAGCAGTCAAAAAGTTCGTGGATGCCAAGAGTGAGTGCTGTATGCACCAAGGATACAATCTCTTTTCTTATATAGGTAGCTTCTCTTGTAAATAATGTGCTCGCAGTTACCCCTACAGAGCTGCCTTGCTTTACTCGACTACAGAAGAATATCCGAGTGTGTCTCCTGATTTTTATCCCCCACCCCCATTTTAAACAGACCTGTAAAGCTGTTCTCCCAGCAGACTTCCAGTAAAGATCATGACCTCAGTATGGGATCGGAGAGAGTGATGAGTCCTAACTGGTGACAGAATTAAGGTCCAGATTGTTCAGAAACAATCTATAGCAAAACAATTCTTCCCGCAGAGGGTGGGGAGGCACTGGGACAGGTTGCCCAGAGAAGCTGCGAATGCCCCATCCCTGGAAGTGTCCAAGGCCAGGCTGGATGAGGCTTGGAGCAACCTGGTCTGGTGGAAGGTGTCCCTGCCCATGGCAGGGGGTGGGACTGGATGGTCTTTCAAGTCCCTCCCAACCCAAACCTGCTGTGATTCTATGAGAGCAGAATCCAAACCAACGATTAAAAGGCAAAATAAATTTGGATGATCTTGTGGTTCATGGAGGAACTGGTAGGCGTGGTGCTGGTAATACAGCAGGTCACTAAAAACGTTAGGTAGGTGCACAGGATTTGTTCTGGAAGGAGAAGCAGGAGTTCACATTCTGTTTTGCTGTGACAGGGTCTCATCGTGTGCCCGTTGAACTGACTTCCCAAATGGGGTTAATGATGCCATTAGGATTTGAGGAAACAGCAGAAGTATGGCTTTGGATGTTATTATTTAAATGTCTGCAGCAATCTTCATCTTTAGCCAAGGCATGTACTCTCCAATTGTGCAGTTTTTAAGAGTTTAACTGCCTGGATCAAGCCTCTCTGCAGTAAGAGTCTGTGTGGGTACAGTGAACGTAATGGTGTGAAAGAAATTGCAGGAACAAAGCACTAAAGGCTTGTTCACAACATCGTGTGGAGGTTAGTTTTAAAAAGTGACTTTCATGGATGCTCTGTAAAGGTTACAGGAGAAACAGTAACTGTACCAGTTGCTGAGCGCACTGAAAAGTGGAAGTAAATTCCATTTCCGATGTCGAGTGTTGCTTGTCTTCAAGTTTCTTATGGTTTAGCTTTGTTTTGCTATAGCTTCTTGCCAAGTATGTTTGATATTCTGTATTTTGCTTCTTCACAGGAAGTGAATATTGAATTCGAAGCACATTCCATATCAGGCAATGACTATAATGGGATAAAGAAATTACTACACCAGGTACTTTGACTTCTTGTTAACTGGTTGATATTTCCATTAGTAAATAATATCTAAAGGGTTATGCAAAGTTGTCAGGTCACGTTATCTGTGTGGATTCATAGTTTTGCTGTGCTTCAGCTCATGCAGATTGAACTGTGACAGCCACAGTGAACATGTGTCTCTTAAACTGTAGGTAGCTTCAAGAACTTTTTTGGTAAACTACAGCTCTTGGAAAGCAGTGACACAAGTAATGTGCTTGTTCAGTGTGCAAATTCCAGTTTGTGGAGGGTCGGGGAGCAAGTGCTTCAGGAAGCTGATTTAGTCTGTACGGTACAATATTGAAGGAAGTTCAGTAAAGAAAGTCACTAAATGGCAGTTGAAAGTGGGACAGAGCATTGTATAGCAGCTTAGAGAAATTACTGACTGCATTTTCTGCTAAGTGGCCCATGATACAGTATCGAGTCTAAAACTTCTTAATCCTTGTTTCTATTTTCCAGTTGTTTCTAAAAGCTCCCGTTAACACTGCTGAATTAACTGATATATTAATACAACAGAATCATATTGGAAGTATTATCAAGGTAAGACAGAATTTACATTTGTTAATTAAGGACAATGCTTTTTACGTTTGTAAATTAAGGACAGTGCTTTTTATGTTGAAATGACATAATGGACTTTCAGAAGTGGATCCTTCTGAAAAGGATTTGTAAATTTACAAATTTGTAATTTGTGTGCTTTCTTGCTTTGAGTTTAATTCTTCTCTGGGAGCTGAAATTTTCAATGCCTATTTTCAACCAAACAAGGAATTGATTTATTCTTTTGGTTGCCTTTTTTTAACATATGGAAGGCTTTTCACCTTTCTCTTTGAATTTTGGTGTAGTAGAGTAATAACTGAAAATGCTGTGGAGAAGGCTGTTACCGTTCCATAAGAAATAGAACCTTGTGGTTTTCCTACATTCTCAGGTTGTGCAGCAATGTAGACCAAAAATATCCTGCATGTAGTTTCCTGTTGTGCAGTAAAGATCCCATGGTATCATTGCTATACATTCCCTTTTTGTCCCGTGCCAACAGTTTTTCTGCCCAAGTTTAATATCATCCTTATATTACAACTGCATTACAACTGCAGTTCTTAGCCCATGTTTTCCATTGTGGAGTTTTCCTGAGCTTTTTTTTTCACTCCCTGCCAAAGCTCTATTACTCTATAGTTTGTAAGATTTTGCAGGTTTGTTTCCCTACGTTAGAAACCAAAAAACATTGGGATTGCTTAAGATCCTGCCATCCCTTGTACCGAGATGCTGCCTATTATATGTGAGCTATCAAATTTTAGTGCCTTTCAAAAGATCCTGCTGTAGAAGATACATGACCTGGCTCTGCACATAGCTGGCTCTAAGCACACAGAGACATTTCAGTGACGCGGCGCTTTCATAACCGTAACCAGAATTTGTAGGTTGTGTGTTTGTACAGATTACCTCGATGGTTGTCATCAGCGGGGCACCTTTGGGAAAGAAAAACATTTTTTGTTGCAGAGAGTGGAAATAAAATGTCAGTGTGAGTTGTTGCTTTTTTCTTTCATTAAATAGCAGGCAGAAGTCCAAGAAGACAGCAGTGATGATGATGAAGATGATGATGAAGTTTTTGGGTTTATAAGCTGCTTAAACTTAACAGAAAGGAAGGTTGGTATTCCTCATTAACATCTAGACATTAATAAATGCGACTGTGTCCTGCTTTTCTGCCTTGTATAACAAGCCTAAACAGCTGGATCAGGATTTTGAATTCCGCCGTGGAGGACTGTGGTCAAGTTGCACATCACTTAGCTTTCTTTTGGATCTAGTCCTGTGTAACTTGCTGAAGGTGAGACGTGAAGCAAAGAATGGGATAGAGAGTTAAAACTAGGTCTGATTAAGTAGTTCCAGGGTAACTGAGCTGTCAGCCCCTTGTATTTTTTTTTCACTTTCATCTCTGGCAGCTTTGGTGGTGTGCTGTTGAGGGTACTGGCGTTGCAGCTCCTAGCTGTGTTCCTAGCCCTAAAGACCCTTTGTTTGTCCTCAGCTGCAGGGCCGGTAAATATTTTCAGAGAAATTGTATGGTGCTTTGGAGACTGCTAAGGAAACTGCCAGTAGGCCTGTAGAGGGTTCCCTTGAAGTTCACACTCAAGGTTTTCTTGTGTAAATAACTGTTCTGTAATGTAAAGAAAATTTACCTTTTGATTCTAGGGTACACAGTGTGCTGAACAAATCAAAGAGCTGATTCTAAGTCGGTGTGAGAAGAGCTGTGAACAGCACGTAGTGGAACAACTGAGTAAGCTCCTCAGTGACAGTACAAAGCCTGTGGGTCTTCTGCTGTGCGAGAGATTCATTAATGTCCCACCGCAGATTGCTCTGCCCATGCACCAGCAGCTGCAGTAAGTTTGTTCGGGGTTTCGATTAGTTGCAAGTGAATGAGTGAAGCAAGTTAGGGGCCGGTTGATCTCCCAGATTTATATCTTTGTCTGGGTGACCAACTCAGGAGAGTTACACTTAGAATCGTTTCACAGACTCTCTACCATTAACTAGCTTCTGGGAAAAAAAGGGTTGTATTGTGAGGTGGGGAGAGACATCCACATTTTTATTGTTTTAAAGTGAAAGTAGTATGTTTAAGTGTATGCAAAATACATTTTCTGAGGCACTTGTACAAGAATAGGCTGCAATATCAACAACCTTTCCATCTTAATACGTTCTAGGATTTACTTAGGTACTCACTGAGGGTTTAAATTGTGTATGTAAACATGTCTTTTTAAATTGTATGTGTAAAGATTTATTTATATTTAGGAAAGAGTTGACTGAGGCACAGAGAACAAACAAACCTTGTGGAAAGTGCCACTACTATCTTCTTATCAGCAAGACCTTTACAGAAGCCACAAAGAGCACTTCTAAGAGGAGGGAAGGGAGAAATCAGCCAAAGGAGGAATTAATGTTCGCAAACGCAGAGGAAGAGTTCTTTTATGAGGTAACATATATGATTCTTTTAAAATGTTTATTTTTCTTGACATACAAGGAAAAGAGGTGTTTCACCCTGCATACGAGAGGGATTTAAAAAAAATGTGGTCACATATCTTATAAATTACATGAATGGAATGTCCACATTTTGAGGATGATCAAATGTTAATAAATCTAGGTATTGAATTTACCAGCATGTCCCAGGCCTTCTGAGTATACCAAAGTCTGAAATTCCCTTTGTTTGGAGAACCATGCAGTTTTCTTCTTCAGTCTGAATAATAAGAAGTATGAGACTTGTTCAGTGGCTGTGTCAGCTGAACAGAGAAGACTGACTTGGGGGACGTGGGTTGCAGGAAGTGTGGGTTAGCGTGAATATCTGTCGGTGGGATTCAAGCTAACATGATTTATATCACGAGTGGTGTTTAAGAGTGGCAGCTCAAACAACTGATGGTAGCTTGCAAGGGGGCTCTAACCTAATCATGTGACACAGCTCTAAGCACTTACAGGAGCAAAGGTTAAAAAAAAAGCAGGGAATTTGTGGTTAGTCTCAGTCAGCATCTGCCATGCATGTTAATACCTCGGTACACAGATTTTTGCCCTGTGCCTACGTAGTTAGTCCTGTGTCAGAAAAAAGCAGCTGCTGAGGCTGTATTTAGATTTGGTAATGCAGTTAAATGCATTTCTCTGAGATCTCTTCCCAAGAGACTTCACAAAGCTCTGCACCTGTGTCATCGGTGGTATTACGTGGAAACCAGGCCTACAGGGGTGCTGGGAGAGGACTTTTTGCAAGGGCCTGTAGCGACAGGACAAGGGGTAACGGGTTTAAATTGAAAGTGGGGAGGTTTAGATTAGATATCAGGAAGAAATTCTTCCTGGAGAGGGTGGGGAGGCACTGGGACAGGTTGCCCAGAGAAGCTGTGGATGCCCCATCCCTGGGAGTGTCCAAGGCCAGGCTGGATGAGGCTTGGAGCAACCTGGTCTAGTGGAAGGTGTCCCTGCCCATGGCAGGGGGTGGGACTGGGTAGGCTTTAAGGTCCCTTCCAACCCAAACCATTCTATGATGATTCTATGATGACCTGTTCTCTTTCGGATACCTGCTATCTTCAAAATCTACTCGGAATAAAAACCTTTTGAAGGTCCCAACGAGTAGCTATCACGTCCCTTTTTGGTCTGTTCTGCTCAGCACAAGTATGTCCATAAGCATTAAAATACTGAGATGGAAAATATGAAAAGCTGAAAGGGAGAAGCCTGTGATGCCCAAGTGTCCACGGGTGGCATGTTGTAGAGGGCCTATTTTATATTTATCTCTGTTTCGTTATTTCAAGTGGCATTTGAAACACTAATTGTGTGCTTTTATCTAAGTTGCAGTAATTTTAAACTCAAGTGGATATACTCAACCTGAACATGGGTTGGGTTTTTTTTTTAACAGTCTTTCTAGTGTTTTTAACAAATTTTAAACATGGAGGATATTTGATTGAGTGCGTCTCTGCACTTAATAATGTATATGTGTTAAATTAGTGTTGGAGTGTATATCCTCCCTAGTCACATGTAACACTAATTAGATTGCCATAAAACAGTATTCAGTGTGGTGAGGCAGACACTTAGAGCCATATAAAACAGGGAGAAGCCTTTTTGCACTTGTCAATTCCCTCTGCTTTATTCTGTTCCTTAAAATGTTACTGAAGGAGCAGACGAAATGCTCTGTTATAACCAGACTTGGAATTGATTAAAGGTTTTGGGCCTCCATGGCTCAAATTGTTCTTGAGCAAAGCCACTCAATTAACCTGATGGTTCTTCCAAAATTAAATTTACAACCTGGAGATACAGTCAGTAAATAGCAGTCCTGATAGGAAACTGGGTCTTAGCTTTCTCTGCAGAGGGAAGAGCTTACATAAGATTTCCTGCTTAGGAGTTCAGTTCATATGTCTTAATCTGACGTGTGTGAGAACTGGAAACATTCGTTGGGTAAGTTTTTCTTACCCATCAGGCATTTCGTCTGGGAAAGCTGATAAAAAAGGGCTGTTCTGTCTGTATGCAGTAGATACCACTGAAAAGAAATAATACATGTTACAGACACTACCTATTGGAAGGAGCATCCTTTATAAATACATCTTTCAGCAGTTCCAACCGTTTAGATACTTGACAAGAGCTTTTTGAAATTCTGCTCAGGATTCATATTAGTGCCTGTCCCCTTAATATTTCATTCCTATTGCCAGTGTGAAAGAGGAGATTACTGTACCACATATTCTTACAGATAGGTTAATTTTTAGGACTCTGAGCAGTTTTAGAGTAGGCCACAGAAAGAGCAGAGCCTGTTCATTGCTACAGGCCTTCCCCATGTTGCCCACCCCAAGCTATCACCCTTATTGCAGGCTCTATGCTACCTGTACTCTCGCTGTTCCTTTTATCTGGGTTTTCGCTGATCTGCTCATTCTCAAAACCACACAACTAGTGATTTCCTCTTGTTCCAGGGTTGAAGGTCTGTTAAGAGCCTGATAGCCCTGTTTTTGGTCAAGGATCCCTGCTAGTTGACACAATAGCTTCTAAGGGTCAGCATTTCTTAATGTAATAATTGGGAATGAAACCATCTGAAATGAGGCACAGTAAGCACATAAAGGGAGCATTGATTTCCCACCCTTCCCCCCCTACCTTAGGTCTTTTTTCTGACACCAACTGTAATGATAGCAATCATTTTAGAAATTAATATGAATTATATAAATTCTGTGGAAAGCAAATAGTTTAAAACAGTAGTATCTGGTAGGTTTTTTTGCTGGACGTTTGAGAGGGAAGAAAATAACTTCTTAATAAGCACGTATATAGTAGGGTCATTATTTATACTTTGTTTAGATGATGTATTATCTTCATGCTAATTAAAAAGTTTAATCCTACTGCATTTATATCTGTTGTTTAGAAAGCCCTGCTGAAGTTCAGCTACTCTGTGCAAGAGGAAGGTGACACCTGTCTGGGCGGCAGATGGTCCTTCGATGATGTGCCAATGAAACCTCTGCGGACTGTTATGATTGTTGCAGCTGATGGAATTAATGTAATTATGGATAAACTCAAGGACTATCTCTCACTCTGAACTTTCCCATAAACACCATTTTTTTCATAAAGCAGCTGTGCAGAGCTATGACTTCGCAGCATTTTGTGGGTTTGTACTGCTCAAATGCTTCCTCTGCGCACTGAGAAGTCAAGTAGGTTGTACAACTGAAAATATCCATCAAATTAATATTTTTAAATATTGTATCTTTTCATACTTTGGTATCATCACTAAGCAGTCAATAAAACCCCAGTGTTACAAGGAAACTTGAAGATATGCTCAGTATGTTTATAACCAAACCTAAATCTTACATTTTTTTAATGAAACAATGCATGCAACTCCTTTTGTTAAGAGAAGTGCTTTTTCTTTGTTTCTTCTGGTAAATATGGTTATGTCAAAAATGCAAAATAATTACATGGGTTAAGATGAGGATGTATATTGAATAGATGGCTTTTATTTATATTGGTCCAATATCTGGTAGTTCAATATAAAATCACTGAATAATACATCTTTGCTCAGTGGGAGTTTGGGGGAATTTTTCATTGTCTTTGCTGTCGTCATGCGTTTGCTGTTCCTCCTTCGCGGTTGAAACAGGTGACAAGTGATTGATCACTTTCTGCAGAATATCCTTACTTTCACTTGGAGGAAGATTGCTAAAATAATACTGAGGTACCAGCTCCACGAATCTGGTGAGGAAATAAGACAAACCATTATTTTTTAATTTCATTTTGAAATGCTGTATTAGCTATTTCTGAGCTTGTACAAAAGACACCAACATCATGCTGATGCACAGAGCGACAAAGTTGGTATTTCAGCTCAAACCCAAAACTCTCTGCAAGATGTAGTAGTAGTTTGTGTTTTCAATAGCCTTGCACTTAACGTACTCTGCGTATGCTTCAGGTGATTGTTCTCAACGCTGCAGATTGCATGGAACAGTCATTTTTCTGGATTTGAACATACTTTTGGTTCAATAAAAGTACGAACAAGGCTTTCTTATAAACACTGAAAATAGAACAGATAGGACGGTGAAATGTATATTTTTAGTGTTGAGACCTTTTTGCAGAAGGAAGACTCTAGTCTTTTCTTGAATCCATAAGCAGTTGATACGGGGTGATTTAGCTGGCTGGGTACATAAAACATGTCAAGAAAAAGACTTGCTGGAAAATAGCTTTTCAGGGAACAAAGAGATTTCCAGCTAGATTAATCTGTGAGCACACTGCTGTGTGAACTCTTCCTTGATTTTTTTCCTGTATATTTTACCTTGTAAGAAACATTTTGCTACTTAGTTTTCTTCAATGGAAGAATTGATTTCAGTCACAGTGGCAGACCTTGAGACTTAGTTCAGTACCTGAACAGGTCAGCACGCGTTAGGAAATATGACAAGGGTGAGTGAAACGATCTGTTTGTTTCACATCAAAAAATAGTAAGGGCGTGAGATCACAGTTGTTCTCTTTTTTTAATAGTTCTGAGCTCTGATTCAGTGAGTGTTCCAAATAAAAATGGAGACATAAAGCAAAGCTACACACAGTGACAGAACAGTACTGGTATGTAATCATGTAAAGTTTATTCCACATATATTCACTAGTGAATCTATGAAGTGTGAAAACCAATAATTTCTTCACCCTTCCAGTGATGCCAGCACCTCTTGCTTGACTAGCCATGAAGGTTGTCCTCTTATGCCCATTTTACTGATTATTTTTATAAACCAGCATCCCTACCTTGAGTGAATCAGTTATGCTTGGAATGTTTTCTCAACAGAACCAGAAGATAGCTATTTTTATGGCAGAGAGAAAGGAATTGGAGAAGATGACCAGAGTTGACTTCTCCAAGCACTGCTCTCAGTGTACACGTGTCTTCATCCTGTGACTTAAGTTACGCTTCTATGGCAGAGGTGTGAGTCAAGAAACAGTTTCATCATCGTTAACTTACAGGTCAGGTGATATCTCAGAGACGACTCTGATGGAATTGTCTTCTGATATACTAAATTCGTGGAATAAAACCCACTCAGGAATCCTTCTGGTGTTATGATATGATGAGAAAGGATGAAGCTGGGCCACTTGCCGGTGCATTAACATTAAGTAGTTACCTGAGCCATCTACATCACGAGCAGTCTAAAAACAATGCAAAGAGTTACCCATTACTTAATTGATCAATGTTTGCATATTACGTTAAAGCCACAAATTAAACTTGTATTCACATACTTTGAACTGGAGAGCCTAAACCTCTTCCCAAATTTCTGTGGGAAAGCTAGGGACTGGGTACTGTGCAATGAGGCTCAGAGTTAAAGAAGACATTGATCTGTATATTTGAAAGGGAACTGTCTGCAACGAAAGAGGGTGGGCTTATACAGGAAATATCTGAACTTGGCGATGGCCTTTGAAGTGTCTGTATGAAAACAGATGTATCTTAAAAAAGTATAATACTTTAAAACACAGTGTGTGGCCGGGCACTTGGAGTAGAGTAGTTTGGAGAGGTCATTCTTGTATTGAGGTGGAGCATAGTGATGTGACGAAAGCGTGTTTTCAAGTGGTAATTAATTAATATTTCTCATTTACTTTTACAATTGCAGTTAGAGTACCTCATTTGGTTGGAGAAAGCTGTATGTTACATTTACTTCAGCATATTCAACAAGTCAATTCTCTGTTTCCAGGATATTTTCACAAAAACATCTTCAGAAAGGAGATAATGTCGGAGAGAATATTGTAAGTTAAAGAGTTTTTTTGAGGTAAAAGAGTTCTTTGAGTGAAAGGCATATTGACAGTTTTCCTCTTGCAGTGAAGTGTGAGGACTTCATGGTGTGATAGCTGAACCCCAGAGAGAGGCTTGGAATTGGCAGAAGTGTTTGTCTGTTACAGTGTGGGGAAAAAAAATGGCTTTTATCCTTTCTGATGTTCAAAAGATTTCACTGCCTAAGTTCTCTGGAAGCATTCTATGTAAGTTAACAATAGAGTAAGATGAAGCCACAATATTTTTCCTTACGTGCATAAAGTAGCCAGATAAGAGAGATTTCTTAATGCTTAGTATATTTTCTTTTGATCCAAAGTCTGGTTCTGAAATGGGAAGTTCGATACGCTTCATAATCTCTACTAGTTCCGCTCTGATCATTTCTGCCATCCTCAGTGCAGAACAGCTGAGAAAATAATCACGACACCATTTCTCCTTACTGTAATCTGTGGAAGAAAAAACAGTATTTTGTCTTAAAGCAAAGTGGTACTGAGAGGTTGTCTGATTCACAGATACTGCTCTGTAAAATGCTCTTTGACTGGTGCCATAGATTAGAAACAGTTTTGAGTGAGTGAGTAGCTGTGTCAGAGCTGTCCAAAATTGGATAACAAGAACCGTGTGGACAGTTTAGGCTCATAGATCTTGCTTGTCAAGTGAGTGGGCAATACTTGATAGCCTTAGTTTTATGGAATTGTAGCCTGTACTTTTCTGAATAAAAATAGTCAAATTCCCTTATTTGGTCTGTAAAAAGCAGTTGTTTTAAGTAGAATGAGTAGCAACTATTTTCAGGCTTTCTGGATTCAGGGCACGATATGGAATTGAAATGACACCTGTAGTGCTGGGGGTGATCCTGCATGCTGGTGAAGGTCGGGTTCTCTTGGATCCCTCTTCAGCGTTCAGCGTGACTGGATGTGAAACAGTCCTACTGCCCTGTCCGAAGCTTTTACTTGCTACATGCAAATCTACCACACCAGTGTCCGAGTACTGGACTCAGGCTAAACCAAACCTGAGCCAGATGCTTGAGCACAGGAAAATGCTATGAAGAGCTTCTGTCTGCTGTGCAGTCCTCTGGCGTTTATGGGGTTTCCTGTAAATGTTGAGCTTTAGCACTTTCAATTTTTTCCCTTAAACTTTCCTTCTAGGTGACAGCTATCAGAGAAACACCAGAATTGTTGGGCTGCTGAGGGAAACAAGTCCCTTCTCAACCATATTCAATGTTGTATCACGTCTTAAACCTGGATTATGAGCTGTTACAGGAGGAACTATCTCTGGTTTTGAACAATGTCACTTCAAATGACAGTAGTAACGGTGCTGACGTATCCTTGTTGGATGAGGTACGCTGCCCTAGGTCACTTTCAATTAGTTAATGAACTAAGAACAGTATTCATAGAACCACAGAATGGTTTGGGTTGGAAGGGTCCTTAAAGATCATCTAGTTCCAACCCCCCTGCCATGGGCAGGGTCACCTTCCACTAGGTTTCTCTCTGCAAATCAGCAGTTCCAGAATGAAACATTCAGAAAGGGTTTATGAATGAAATGCCAACAGCATTCATTTGTTTTGCTTTGTTTTTTCCAAATTGGTTGCAGTGTGCTGTGTTTTGTCTGGTCTGGGTGCACTTACATTGGCTTGAGGAGTTTGCGCTGGCCTCCTTGAACGCGTTGAAGACATTGATAAGAGTAAAGTGATCTCCTGCAGGGTGTGAGAATTTTCGCCAGCAAGTGAGAGCAATCTCTTCTGTTCCACGAGGGGCATGTAAGAAGCAATTAGGAGCTTAGGAAAAAATCAAGGCAGTGGTTATTAAGACATGGAGATGCATGCACAAATAGTAACTGCACTAATATTTTTCTTTTTTTCCCTTTCTCAGTTCCCTTTAATCTTCAGTGTTGAGTTGCTGCTGAAGAATCTATTGCATTCACTAAGGTTTTCTTTATGTTGATGTCCTTTCAGTCTCTTGTTTAGTTAATGTGTGCTGTAAGCACAAAAGAAAGTGAGGAGCTTTCTCCTAGACTGATTCCAAAAATGTTTCATAATAGCATGGTCCAATTTATCCAGAATCCAAGTGTATGGTTACTTTAATATAAAAAGAAACTAAATCTCTGGATGTAATGCCTTAATTTGCTCATATATGTTTACATTTGTGCTTTTCAACGCATTTTAATTCTATTGTGGTGCTATGCTACATAATTGTGACTTTTGAGACAGCTTATTTTAGCTTTTTAAAAACTAAGCTTTGCCTATGCTCAGTCATTTACATTTGATTTATGTGCTTAAAAAATTTATCACAAGTTTAGGCCCACTATTAAAAACCAGACCGGCT